ATGATAAGGAACTTCACAGTATTCAAAACCTTTTTTTTTCCATTTTACTGTAAGAAAAAGAGGCTTTCAGGACTTTATTCAACAGTGTCCCAGTTCAGGCTGCAGCCTACCGAGGCCGAAACCGTCGCAGTTCACGTATTCACACGTCTTTTCACTGGAGGAATAACTTCACAATTAAAACATTACTTGTAAATAAATAATAATTTGGGTTTCGCTCCAGTATCAGTACTTGTAATTGCATTTTATTTAGCATCTCATTGCAGCATAAATTTCATCAGCTTAGTTACTAAACAAACATTTAGAAACAAATTATCCGGCGTGGGGTGACAACTGCAGACTTCGAAGGACCCAACCACCGAATCGATGCACAGCCACAGTCTCCACTTCAGCTGCTTACACATCACCCACTGCTAAATGAGTCGTGCTTCATTCATAAATTTAAATTTTACTTATTTTGACAGGTTTTTACTTAAAATCATGAACACAATCTAATCTTGTGCTACACTGCCATCAGATTTACGTTGCATGATTATTTCCATAAAATGTTTGTAAATCAAAATAGCAGCAACATTCAGATATAGCACTTTCGTTGCAGCCWGAGGCACTTCCTGAAGGGTATTCATAATATTTCTGCCAAAATGACCAAGTAAAATGCAATAAAGTAGCATTAAAACCTGTTGCAGAGCATGAGACAAGTATTTGTCTGTTTTTAGGGGACATATTTCCACTTTGATCAGGAATCACACAGAACTGCCATCCACTATTGTCCTTTGTTCCTGCTAGCATCTTTATTGAAGGATTATTCTGAAATACCAAAGGCTTTTATATACGCATGATTTAGTTCCACACATTGTTTGGTTGTTTAAAGGAATCCCTTGTTATATTAAACGCCACGGCCTACTGTCTCACCTACAGCTACCTGTTGGAGCAGGATTTTCCTGGAATGCGTATCGGCCCCGAGCCCACCACGGATTCTTTCATCGCGGTCATGCACGGCGACATCGAAGGAGTCATCCCCGGCAACGCGCTGGTGGTCGACCCCAAGAAGCCCTTCAGGAAGCTGAACGCGTTCGGAAAYGCCTTTCTCAACAGGTACAAGCTCAGAACGCTCGTAAAAGCCAGAGCTCCGGCCTGGCACGAGCGGTTGGCAGTCTGTGGAGGTGTTTTCAGAAGGGACAAAATGTCACGCGGGGGTGAAATGTGTGCRAACACCGAGGGGGAAGACTGAGGCGAAGAAACGGCTAAGTGAGAATCGACACCACCGCTCCACATTCCTGCGTGATTGAATTTCCCTTCTCTTACTGCTCAGACTTTTCTCTGTTAACGTCTGAGCTGTGCGGCAGAGAGGGAGCTGCACAGCTGATGATCTTTGCTCAGTCGTTCTTCTGGAAAGAAAAAGAAAAGAGGCCCCAGAAACTCTTTACCCTTGTAGCAGTTCCCTCTGTGTGAGGACCCTTGAGTGCTGACAGGAGAAATGCTGTCAGTGTGTGTGTTTGTGTGTGTGTGTGTGGATTGCTGTGAGGATGACCGCTAACCTGCTCATATTTATTCAGCTGAAGAAACACAAAGAGAAGACAAGTTAGAGGAGAAAAATTAAGGGAGATAGAGGTCTGATGCAGAGCGATGTTTCTTATTAGGACATTTTACACTTCTGTCCCTATTTTGTCTTTTTATTCTGCCCTTGTGTGTGTGTGTGTGTGTGTGTGTGTGTGTGTGTGTGTGTGTGTGTGTGT